GGCAGCCTGAGGAAGATCAAAAGTGACCATGATTACTGGGTGGGACTCGCTCAGGATGGACCTAGCCAACCTTGGCTTTGGCAAGATGGCTCCTCTCCTTCCTCCGACCTGTAAGTGTTTCAGGGGGAAAGATCACAAAGTTACAAGAAAAAAAAAACACATGAGGAAATTCAAATGTTCCTTTTCTTTTATTTATTAGGTTTTCTCCAGGAAACACAACCAGCATCATAATTTCATAGGCTTCTGATTAGAATCAAAGCTGAGATAATTAATGAGTAGCTTTATGGCTTCTAAATCTTCTTCCTTCTCATCCTCACTGCCATTATCCTGCAGGACATTTACACTAAATCTGAGTCTGAATGAACAGTATTATTTAATTATCAAGTATATTTTCTTTGTATAATTTAATGACTAGAGAGTGCTAAGGAAAAGAGATTATAGAAATTATTAAGCAATTTGCATAATTAAGGTTTTCAGATAGACCTAGGGAAAATTGGTGAACAGAATTAGATGCTTTAGTATTCTGAGAATTAAGAGTCAGGAAAGATAGTCTAATTCAGAGCCTGTCTTTATGCTTTTATACATAGTTTGTTCAAGTTATATTAACATATTTTTACTGAGCGAGAACAGCTCTGGAAGATTACTCCAGAAGAGTGCCATATTCAAAGAAAATAGAACAAAATAAAGGGTACACACCTCTCGTGAGTTACCCACAACAGCATGACTGTAAGCTCCATACTTAACCTCGGATACCCTGATTTGCCTCTCCAGGTTCCCAACACAGAGACCGCCTTCAACTCACCAGCTCTGTGGATACCTCAGAAACAAGAGCCTTTCTTCCACTAACTGCAGCAGTTGGAAATACGCTATCTGTGAGAAGTACGTGCTAACATCCTCTGTGTGAAAGAAGTTGGGTTTGAAGTGATCCATTGCCATAGTATTTGGAACAGGCCATTGGAAAACCTGTTGCAAAATGCCAAGGAGCAAGTGCAAAAGTAACGTTATATGTGAGCTTAACTAGCTGCCTGGGACTCAAAACTTATTTTTGCATTTACACTGGGTAATATTCTTCAGTATATCCCAGACATTATTTTGACAGTGTTCAAATTGCCAGGAATAAAATTGATTTAGAGGACAAAACCCTGAAGGGTTGAGAACAAACTGAAGAAAAATCACTGTGATTTGTCATGCTTTTTAAAAAAATCTAAAGTGACCATAAACATATAGAAATCTGTAAGTCACTGGGGAAATGATGCAGTTCTAGATGATTGATTTTTTTTAGGTAAATAAATAAATGTAGCCTTTTAAGGTCCCTGTCTGCCAGATCTCTTATTCATTTGCTAGGCTTCCAAGGCATCGTTATGAGTCTGGGGGGATGTGAACACAGGGATATGGATTTTCAAATCGGAAGGAAGAAAGGCCGATGTCTGCTGCCAATAAGACAATACCTTTTTTTAGGACCATAGATTTCTACAGGAGAGATGAACTACGAGAACTCTTCACAAAAGTGGAAGGGAAAGTCAGGCTGCCGACACCAGACACCAGCGCGGTTCCAGTGAACCGCAGCTGCGTGTGAGCCTCCCCTCTCCTTCACTGACTATCCCGCCACTCACAAATCAGAGGACTCACCGTCTGGGTCCCAAAAGCGTAGCACTCCGGCACTTTCAATTGCATCTTTCTGTGCCTCACTTTCTTTATTGTAAAATAATAATAGAAGTTATTTCAAAATATTTTTGAGCCTAAAATCATTAATATATGTAAATTGCTGATAATAGTGCCTCACATGGAATTTGACACTGTGTTGGTACTTGCTGTTATTACCTGAAGTACCTTGCCAGTAATCTCTAGGTATCAATGTTATGTGTGCATTCCAGGCAAAAGTGACCCTTTTTCTCTTTATGTCCCAGGAATGTTGAGAAGATCATGTTTATATGTAAAGTACCAGCAACTATCTGGAGAGGTTATCTTTCTTAAAGTGAATGAATCTCTTCAAATACATCTATAGACAATCTGTGTCCTAAGTTTGCAGGCTTCTCGACATGGGTTAGCTTGTTCCCAAGGGACAGTGGGTATGAAAGTATGTTATGATCTGTCAGAAGGAAAAATCACTATATTACTCTCCACTTACCATCCTTACAACAACTTACTATACAGTAGATGTTCATCAAATATTTGCTAAATTCAACACACTTTTTAAAAATCTTTCATTTGCACAAGGAGTAGTTGAGCCACACTAGATTCTCATCTTTCTTTATAATAAAGGCACCATTTAAATAAATAAAGTCAAATAAGCTAATTCACGGAAACAGTGCAAATCATGTAAGTGAGACCTAGAAGTCTATTGAAAAAGGTGACTTCTGAAGGAAAAGGTCCTGTAAGGATGGGAAGGGATGTTTTTTTATTTTTTAATTTAGTTACCCTTGACCTGCAGTTTAAATGGTGAGGATTTCAATACAAGGGATTTTCTCTACTTTTCTGCTGAACCTAGGGAAGAAGACGAGCAAAGAAAACACTATGCTTTCGGTTTTCACAGCTGGCAGCTGGCAGCTGGATACTATAACCTGGAGTAAAGGGGGAACAATAACAATTTTTAGTAGTGAAGGCTGTTTGTCTTCAAGATTCTTCCAAGTTTTGTCATGGAGCTATGTTTAGGGAAATCATAGGAAGCATTTAATAACTCTGGTTAGAAAAAGTACAATGAGGCAAAAGGCAAACATCCTTCGGCTGACGTCATCCTTCCAGTATGCGCTGCAGTATTTACAAGTCAGAATTGCATCTGCACCGCTGCTGGCAAGATCTCCTTCAAATTCCCTCAGTGACAACAGTGCTCTCCACACGGGTGTTATGGGTGGAAGATTTTTTTCCATCCGTAAGGTTGCTTTTGGCCCAGGTTATCAAGGGCTTTTTCAAGGCAATGGAGAGAGAGAGACTGGGCCTTTGCCCTGGTGTAACCAGTTCCACACCCTAGTCCCACCAGTAATGAATTGGGTGTCTTGAGTCCTCTGCTCACTGAGTTCCAAGTGAGCTCTTAAAACAGGGGAAAGAAAAGGAAATATAAAACTCTACCCTACAAACCTAAAGAGGCTTTGTAATGTGGTATGGTTAAAGTACATTAAGTATGCAAAAAGAAAAACATTACACTAGTAAGATTGAAAGAATAATAGGAAGTAGTATGAGATTCTAATAATCTAGTCACACAATAACCTTGTAAAGAAGTTATGCACACTATAAATCAGATTATGCCATTTTTTGTATTTTTCAAAAATGACAAGAGTCCCTTTACAAAGTATTTGACTCTCACGTATTAAGGCCCACCCTGAGACAACCTGCTAGACTTTCTATTTATTTCATAATCTGTTTATATCCCCAAAGTAGAAGCTCTCATTATACTTCTCTCACGCTTCCTGCTGTTACAGGACTCATGGCCTGTTTCCTGTTGATAAGTTTTAAGAGCCGGTTCAATATCCTCAGGAAAAGAAAGAACTCACTGTGTACCCTGGGGAATTCAGGTCTACCAGGAAAGGCCACATTCCTCGTTTGGCTTTTCTGGCAACTTCTCCAGAATTACCTAAACATACAAGGTCTTCTCCTGCTGAAAAATCTATTCATGGGGGCTGCCTTCTCTGATTCTCAATGGAAAATCGATCTCAGCAAACCATATTTTCAAATTCATAATGATTATTTTCTACTCATAATTTTTTTTAATTGCGGAGAGAATGTTGTGCCATACTTTTTTTCTGTTTTCTGAAATATTTGCTCATAATGTGATTAGTATTGTGAGCTTTGTTATACAGATGAGGGGATTCTTGAAGGCAAAGATGGAGGGAAATAAGCTAAAAAATAGCCCCAAATGCTAAATAATTATTTTTTCCTTCTTCACTAAAGAGATGCTTCCCCTTAGACTGCAGATTTTTATGGAGAATACTATTTAATACCCACTCCGGGCAGCTGGACTCATTCAGGCAGTGCCATTTAAAGAGACTCTTCTCATCCAGTCCTGAACACTGGAGTCAAAACCTATGTGCCTGTCCCTATATTACAAGTCAGTCCACAATGTCATCTGACTTTCTCATATTAACCATATTTTCTTGCTTCAGTAACAAGGCTTAAATAACACTTAACTTTCATTGAGTGAATAATAACACTTAATGAGATGCCTTATCCATATTTCTTGTTATGTGCTTACTACATTAACTGTGTATATTAAATATCTGCACTCATCATGGAAAATATTCAGTAATATCCACAGCTCCCCAATGCAGGTGTCTCTACCATTTGTTCACAAACACAGGTCTCCAAACAAGGTTATTTATGCTCGTTTGTGCTCCTCTATAGTTTAAAATACCTGCTTTTTGCATATTTTTAATATCCCTTAAATTTTATATTACAATTTAAATTATGGAACGAATTTCACATTTACCTCATTTCAGCTAACATTTCAGCAACATGAGGGAATTGTAAATATTTCCACTTTATATTTAATAAAATAAGCTTGTTGAAATAAAGTAATTTTGTAAAAATAAATAAAAAATTAGGGATCTCAAATTCCTGCTTGATGATCACAAATGCTGTTCTCTTTGCCCAACACCGTAAATCAACACAAAATTTTTTTAACACTGAAAAATTTCCCAGCTAATAGGCAGAACATTGAAAGGAAAAATCTTAAGAAAGAAATCTGTAATTCGTGATTGGGGTTGTGCATATTGCCATCCTGAGAGAGGGCCACCTCCACAAGAGGGCAACTATGTATGTCAAAGTCTCCCACGTCCCATGACCTGATTGAATGACTTGCCCTATTGCAGTTCGGTTCACTCACCTTGAGCCACATATTGATGACAGTGTGCTGCAAAGGATTTCATTTTAAAAACTGTTAAAACCATCCTCCTGAAGACAGCATGATCTCAAAGACTTCTTATTTTCCTCAAATATTCAAATAATCAGTACTCTGGTAGAGCCCAAAGTCTCAGTAAAGTGCAAGCAGAACACTGACTTTTACAATCTTTTGAAGAGTATTTACACACTAAATTTTTCCCGAAGTCACAAATCCATTCTAAAGTCACACATATTTCACATTATTTTAATTTATTATTATTAAATCTTTAGTACCTGAATATAAACATGGATCAAATGAAGAAAATAAAAATGAAAACCAAACCATTCCAGATGCACATAAATAGACTGACTGTAGTTCTGGTCTTCAGTCTCTGAAGAGAGCACCGGGGAGAGTAATTCTGACACAGAACTGAGTTGACAACATTTCTATCACAGAAGAAATTCCTCAGGGAAGGAGACAATCACTGGAATCTTAAATAGACATAGGGAGATAGGTTTGTAAGAGGTAAGGTTCTAATAAGAAGAATTAGCCTGGTGAGAAGCAGGCCACGGACACAGCAGATGGGGTATTTACTGAGAGATTCAGAAGGGAAGAAAAATAACTTAAGCAAAAGAAACCAAACAAACAAATTAGTTGTGTATTTGGTAGCATGGTATCAGATCTCTCATGGACCAATTGACTGTTGCTACAAAAGATGTTACATACATTTATTTCCTCCATTTAAGTTCCTCACTCCTCTAAATATTAAGGAAGACATGGAAAAAGGGAAATGATATTAGATGCTGAGTGGGAAGAACACTAGGAAGTTATCTCAAAATCAAGAAGGTGGCTAATAATTTTATGGGTTTCCAGGACCAGTTGATGATACATAATTGAGATTTCTTCATGCTGGTAAATATTTTCATGAACTCCCAAGCTCAGAAGCGCTGGTGATCTTGAGCTAGAAATGAAAATCCTTCTTGTGCCAGTTGAGGGATTGCCTTTCCTGATTTTTCCCATTTCCCTATGTCTCAAATATCCTTTGCATTGATCTTGCTTTGGCTGAAACTTTTGTTGAATTGTTTTATAAGCATGGGTCAAATGAAAGAGAATAGTTTGAAACCAAGTGTACACAAAGAGATGAACTTTTCTTCTGATCTTCAGCATGTCTGAAGGGAGGGCAAAGCTGTGGTTGCAGCTAGAGGGTCAATCAACTCCACACAACGGTTCCGAGGAGCTAAGGAGTCTCTCTACCTTGACCGTGGCAGCCATTTTTTCGCATGCACACCGTCTCAACTCTCGGCAGTTTTTTGAGAAAACCTTTCCATTGAGGATGGTTACACAGTCCCTGTCTCTTATGCTGGTGATATCTGTTACAATCCTAAACCTTAAAAAAGAAAAAAAAGTTAATTAATTTATGGTTTATTTCTAAAAAGAAATCCTAAGAACTTAGAAGGTATGTAAGAAATACTCCTAGCTTGATAAAACTGTAGCAAAGGTGTCCAGAATGAGTTTACGGGGAAGATGGAGTTGCCAAGCTCTTTCTTTCCAGCCCTTCAACTTCCACAGTTATTCTTAGAAGCATCAGGTCACCCAAAACAATGAAAACAATTTCTACCAAAAACTATGACAAATGTTATAGTCCAACTTTAACTTGCAATTTTATAGCCATCTGAGCAATTACCTACCTTCTCTGTGACTCAGTTTACTTAACTATAGAATAAAAATGATTATGTTGCACATATCCTATTTCCTGGAAGAATAAGTCATATTTGTACATAGAAAAGAGAGGTGTTTTTTTCAAATATGGCTTTAAATTATAATATATTTTAGTATCAATATTATTATCAATATTGATAAACATTATCAATATTGGCCTATTTCAAGGAATATCATGCCTACTCATATACAAATTATATAAATAGAGCTAACTTTGGATAATAATATTATTTATATTGTCAGTAAATTTATCCTCAGACACTGCATTTTTAAAGACGTGCTCCCCATTTAAGAGCACAGAAAGCAAAGAAATCTGAGGTCTTATACTATCTCTGGTATTGACAAGTTGTGAAGTTTTGTGACCTTAGACAAGTCGCTATCACAACCTGGGCTTCAGTTTATTAATCCATAGAAGATCCATTCATTCTCATCCTCTGTCTCTCTCTCTCTCTTTCCCATTTCTCGTTCAGTGAATTCCAAACCACTTTAATGCTCCAAGAAACTTCAGGGCCTGAAATGAAATTTTCTGAAAGCAACCAGACAAAGAACTTTCTCCACTATTTTGTTAACACTTTATCTGTCTCCCTCACTGGTTTAGAAGCCATTAAGGAGAAAGCAGTTTTATAAATCCTTGGACATCCTCCTACCAATATAGTATCTAATACAAAGTAGATGTTCAATTAATGCTTGTTGAACCAATTTGCTGCACTACACGCCTTCCCCACAAAATATGCTGATGGCTTACGGCTCAGAAGCGTACGGTGTTCCATCAGTCCACAGCCAGGCCTTGTCACTGCTGTTGCGCGATAACCCTATCCAGTAAGAGTAGTAAAACTCCGAGTAGCTGTGAGGCATGGCAAACTGCTGAACAGGCACAAAAGAAAATGTTTAGCTTTTAGACATGTTACAATAACATATATATACAGAAATGTGTAGTGACACTTTTACAGCCAACACTTTTAATATGAGAACACATGACTCCTGCCTCACTCAGATAATAAATAGTACACATAAAAGGAAAGCATCTATGCTAAGGTCAGTTAATTTGTCCAAATTAAAGAATTTCATTTGTCTTTATAAGCACAGAGGACATACTAATATCCTGAAACCAAGATTCACATCAACCAAGCTTTTTAAGTGACTTGTTACTTTCAAATCACAGGATGAACACTAAGATTTTATATAAAAATATGGGAGGCAGATTTACAAAGAGGAGTGATTCTGGGAAATGGAAGTAAAAATGCAGGAATGGGGGAGTAACCTTTATAAATACATGCAAAAGGGACTGACCAGGAAGAAGAGAACAACGAATACAATTTAATGTCAAAGGAAGTAAAAGGAGAATTTGAAAAGATGGATTATGTCTCAAACTAGGAAAGGGAGAAAGAGAAATGTTCATATGTTTTTATATACATAAGTGTGTATAAATTTATATATATCCCTGATTGAAATAAAATGGAGAGTCTGTGAACCCTGACTGCCTAGATTCTTCTTGCATAGCTGTTTCAAAGACATCTTTCTGAGAATACTTCAAACACTGACCCAAACTTGGGACCTTACCAAGATTTCTTGTGTGTTTATCTTCAGCATGGTTGAGTTCTCAGCAATACAGAAATAGTCACAGTCCTGCCAGCTCTTGCTCTCTTCATAAAATTGGTAGCATTTGTCCCCATGCCATTTCCACTTTTCTGGGCAAGGGCTACACCTGTGCTCTTGGAAAGAAACCAATTTTGATAAGTTATTTTTTTACCCAGGTCTGTTTTCTTTCCTCTCTTGAACTTATACAGTATTTGATAACACGATAAATAATGGATTTCCTTTCTCTTAGGTATTTAATTGCCCAGGCAATGATAACTACAAACATTTATCTACCACCTACTATATGCCAGGAATTGTGATTGGTCCTGAGCATACAGTGGAAATTAAAACAGAGACTACCGGCTTTCATGGATACTGAATCTAGCTCTTCCCTGCTCTTGGCTATGCAATCAGTATAGAGAGAGGATGTTCAATGCATAAAGAACTTTTTATATGTTCAGAAACTCAACATGCATTACACTTAAGAAACAATTGAAGTTTTTGCAAATTTATTCTTCAAAATCCTCTTATATACTAGTAAAAAGATTTTTAAAATTCAATATACAGGTCTGTCCAGAAAGTATTTAGCATATACTGTGAAAAATAGAGACATTTATTTATTTATTTAATTTTAAAAAAGATTTTATTTATTTATTTATCTTTAGAGGGGAAGGAGAAAGGGAGAGAAACATCAATGTATGGTTGCCTTTCGTGCATCCTCTGCTGGGAACTGGCCTGCAGGGAACTGGTCTGCAACCCAGGAATATGCCCTGACTAGGAATTAAACCGCAATCCTCTGGTTCGCAGGAGACATTTATTGGAGAAGATAAAAAATACAAGAAATATTGTACATAGTACAATGACACCTCGGGCCCCTTCAAAGTAGGCACCTTGGGGCCTCACACAGATCTTTGTTGGTTGCAGCCTGTACACATTGAACATCTCAAGTGTTCTGTTTATTGCAGGCCTTCCAGAATGTGCATCACTTTCAACAGATTCTCGACCATCTCAGATGCATTTGTATCACAGTTTTATTTGTTCTGCACTCATTACATCATCCCTGAAAGGCTTCTGAATCATCTGAATAGTTCCCATGGAGAAATGTTCAAGCTTAACACAAAATTTGATGCAGATTCGTTGCTCTATTTACTCAGTCATTTTGAATGGATGGCCACACAGCACACATGCTCACTCAATGGCGTCTACCACACCCCCTGATGGGTACAAGCGAAGTCATCATTGTTCACATATGCTCATTCCAGTCCACCCTCCTTGGCTACCAGGCTACATAGATGTCGCACAAACTGTTCTTGTTATATTAACAATGGCTGGACTCTTTCCTGACAGACCTCAGTATACCAATAAGATATGAACTCTTTTCTCTTTCTAAACACAAGTAAATAAAATTTTAGAAAAAAATAGATATTAAGCCAAGTATGAATTAGAATGGTAAATCTCTATGTATCAGAAATTGAGATGGGCACCAAAGTTAGACAATTAAGTGCATAGGTCAAGAGTAAGATGGGTTACTGTGGGAAGTGTTTGTAAATATAGGAACTAAGCCCTGACAGTTGTGGCTTTAGTACACATGTGGGAACATGGCCTTGGGCCTTTGAGAATTGGGGACCCATAACCAAGTCCCTTGCGGGTATTTGGTGAGATAGGAACTCAATAACTCCATTAAAATACCTTTATTATAAAAACAATTTGGTGTCAAATGTTAACATGTTAAAATCTGAGTGGTCAATACAAATGGATATTATATGATTGTTTGTATTTTTCTGTATGTATGAAATATTCCATAAGGTAAAAATATTTAAACAAATAAATAATTTGGGAGATTTCATAGTCAGTCAGTTTATATCTCTGCCCCAGATGTTACCTCTTGTATACCAAACTGCCTTTCCATAGCTCCACTTGGATATCTAAATTATACGTATTTCAAATTCAGCTTGCACAAAATGACATTCCTGGTTTCCTACCTTCCCCTGTATAACTACTGAATTCTCCCCCACTTTACTTGATCACATCTCTGTGATTCTAGTTGCTCTGCCCCCAAACTTTGGAGATATCTTTGACTCTCACAACCCTTTTCTCTCACAACCCATTTATTCCATCATGAGCTCGTCTCCACCGGTCATATTCTAGCTCGAGGCACTATCTTTTACCTGGATTGCTGCAATACCCATCTCATATGATTTCTACGTTCCTATCCTTCCCTCTTCCAGTCTGTATTCAATACATTTGCAAAGCAAGCCTTTAAAAATTCCCGTCAGTGTATTTCCTCTGCTCAAGAGCCTATAATGAATCCTCATCTTGCTCAAAGTAGAAGCCAAATCCCTTACGATATCCCCTGATGTCATAAATAAGGCCTTCCTCATTTCCTATTAGTCTTCTACTCACTCCCTCCAGGCAATAGGCGCCTTATTATTCCCTGAATATGAAGATGCATTCACATCACAGGGCTCTTGCCTGGTCTGAAATGTCTGAATTTCAAGAATCCCTTCATGTATTATTGCACAGATGTGTTTGAGCTAAATGATCCTAATAACCAGACACAATCTGTATACCCAAAGTATTAAGTGTGTCGGACACCTAGTTAAATAATACAGCTATTTAATTAATACATGGGTTCCCTGATACACTGATGGGAAATTCAGACCTATATTGACACATGTTGTGAGGGCAGAGGGAGCTCAGTGACCAGGACTCACCTCCAGTTTTGTTGTAGAGCTCACGACAGAATTTCTCAGCCACATGCTGCAGAGTTTCTACAAGCTTCCTTTTCTGGGTTTGGAGGGATTGCAGCTGTTGAGAGAGATTCCCCAATTTTTCTTCCATTGTAGAAATGCTGTCTTTCTGAATATTGGAGAGCAAGTGGAACTGGAAAACTAACCCAAGTTACCAAGTTAGACTGGACAGTTTATTTCTTCGTTTCTATTTCTATTTTCTACATATAAAGAAAACAAAACAGTATATCGCTTATGATCTCACGCTCTGAGATCTCACATTACCTATATTCAAGGTTGGAATGTAGTACATACTAAATTCTATTTTCGTGGGCAAATAAATTTTTCAAGTATGCTTTCTTATGTGAAAATGTGGAGTTGTAGTAACAGTTTCTAACTTCAGAAATGAATTCCTTAATCATATTTACTGTTTACTAAATCTTTATGTATATTCTCAAACCAGCACTCAAGCCCAAACTACAAATCTATATATCCTTTGAGCATTACATTTAGAATTGACAATGTACCTTGTTACCTCATTCAGTCATTAAAATGGTCACATTATCATTTCTATATTTTTATACATTCGCACTTTGGCTCAATGAGTATAAGTAAGTTAATATCACTTGGTTAAAATATTTCAACACTTAGGTATAAAATCCAGGATCTCAAATTTAAGATAAAAGCCCTCGATGACTCATGAGCACAGCTTTACATCCCTAAAATGAATGGTGGTTGCAAAACAATAGTTATATTAAAATAAAATAGAAATTTGGGGGTCAGGGTAAAAACATTAATTTTTTAATTATAAAATTTAAGATAACAAAAGTTTGAACATTTCCTATGAACACCAAATTTTTGACATTCAAACCTGCCCTTCGATGTAACCCTTTATCTTGCATCACCTTCTTCAAGTGTTCCTGGAAACGTTGCTGTAGCGTCTTGATCTGATGAAGAGAATGTGTCCACTTCCTTTTTTAAGTTTTTGAGCTTGTCCTTACTAGTTTGTAATTGACTGCATGCATGAATTTTTCCTATTTAATGTTCATAGGTTTTTGCAAAATGATTTTATACCTTCCTGGACCTTTTGAAAAATGGTATGGTGAGAAAGGACCTGCGTGGTCTGTCCTCCTCACACGGCAGAGTTGAGGTATAGAGGAAATGTCTTCCCTCTGTACCAGCCTGATGAGCCAGGCAGGCTAACAGCAAAGATCACTGCCTCAACTCTTTTGTGGAAAGGAAGGAGATGAAGCATTTGTTTATTCGAAATTGTTGATTTTAAATACTGGCATATAAACAAAGGGATAAAAAACCTCTTATCTCAAAGAGACTATAAAAGTCTGGCAAATGATTTCTGCATTTTAATGCTTCTTCCAGTACTCACTGTTTACATAGATACTTTAGAATAAGGTCCATTGAATTATTCACAGGCTCTAGAATTAAAGTGTAAAGAAATATATTCCATAATGAATATTCCTCTTCCCAGACAAACCTTGGAGCCAGGATCCTCCCCCAAGTCAGAGTGCAGACTTACACACAAACCCCAGTACTGCCAGGCCAATCAGCAGCACCAGGCACAAAAGGAGCAGGGTCAAGGCCACTGGACGCCAAGCTGAAGAGGGAGGCCGGTGCTCTACAGGGAACGAGAGGAAAGGCAGGGTTTCACTTTTTCATCCTCTTGGATGTATGTCAGCTTCAAGCGAGAGGAGTTGGTTCTGGGGAAGAACACATTCTACAGGACAACAGGAATCAGGGACTAGATCACATTCCTTCTGTCCTCAGAAAATCGTCGTCAGAAACCTGTGGGCCAAGCCTCATGTACGGGCCAAGCCTCACGTACGTACCAAGGTTGGATTCTTTCACGCGCCCCGCCCACACCCGCCCAGTCTGCTTTGCGGTAATGGAGTTGTGCATTCCTCTGACCTTTATGTAGCCATTCACATAACGTTTTTCCTGTCAAAATGTGAGTTATACAAGACTCTCATGTAAATGCCTTAACAAAGAACAATTTTTTTACATCATCAGAGAAGAGATGAATTTTTTATCACTTTTGCAAAATACCATCCCTCCCAAGTTTCCATAAATGCTTTTCCCAAGAAGCAAACTGCATATCAGTAAAGAGAAAGGATCATTTTACTGTTTCTGTTGGAGATTTCTTTGTCAAAAGTTCCTCTTTAGTAATGATTTTATTTGTTCATTAAATTATAGCTTTCTAAAAAGAGATGGAAACACGACCATCAATTTCTCAAGAGAGAGATCCAAGCTATCTTAATTGTGAAGCAATTAAGTAATAAAAAAGCTATAGACGATATCCCTTGCCCACACCCTCACAAGTTTACCATGTGGTCATTTTAGGGGCTCTACTTAGTGGAAAATGAGCCCATCACCTAATGAGATCAGCTATCAAGCTGAATGACCTGTTGTTATAGCTGACAAGGAAGACCCCTAACCAGTGCAGGTAGCATCCAGCTTTGTGATTAAAATAAAACAAAGGGAGAGAGAGACCCTCAAACACATTGGTCTCTTCATGACTTGTGAGTCTAACTTCACTGGGAATTCAAGTCAGGTTCTAAAACAGAAAGATTAAAGATACGTAAGGTCATCTCCTCTTTAGAAAAGTCCACCACAGAATATATTCTAGGTATAGAAATTTGTACAATACTAAATATTATTTACAAACAGGGAATGAGAAATGGTAAGGATATATAGAAGTAGAAAATATCATCACTGTCCTTTGGCATTTACAATCTGGTAGGGAAATCATGGAGCAGGAATTCATACATTTTAAAACGTGATTCTTCATTTTCCTTAAAAATCATCTCCTCTAAAATTTTTTCAATGGCTTGCATTACAGTTCTAATAAAATCCGAATCACTTTTCATAAAGACTCAGGCTGACCTTTTTTTGGAAAATGGAAGTTTGATTACACTACTTCCCGACTTAAACTAAAGACTTCCAATAGCTTTATTGCACTTAGAATAAAATTCTGTAAGAACCTTTTTTACCTAGACCCCACCTGGTCCATTCTCATCCCTTTCTGTAGCACTCTGACCTCAGGCAAATGCTCTACCCACGGTGGCCTGTTTATCCCTGGAGCTAACAAGCCTGTCCCTGTTTCAGTGCCTTTGTGTTAACTCTGCCTCTTCCCCGGCATCAAGTGATCCACAGCCAGGTGTGCTGGGAGGCTCCTTCCTGGTTCAGCTTTAAGTTTAAATGGCACATCCTTAGGGGAGGACCTTAGGGGAGGACCATGTAGCACATTACCCCACTGTATATGGTTCTTTAAAAATAAGATTATTAAGTATCATGTTCATCATTTTTGTTTGTTTTTTTCTTTATCTTTCCCCCCTTGGATGTAGTATACCTCATTAAAAGAGTGATCTTGTCTATCTTGTTCAGCATTGTATTTCCAGTACTGAAAATTGAGCCTGGCTCAGAAGGGCCAATGCATATTTGAATGAAGAATGAAATCATAAAAAAATGAATATTACTTATACTACCTAATTTTTACAAAGGCACAAATTATCTCCAGTTAAACCTTACACACTGATTTTTTAAAATCTATTGACTTTTCATCAATATTTCTGTCAGTAGGGGGAAGACTTAGTAAACTCATCTCCTAGCTGTACTGGATTCTATCCACTGACGTGAGATTCTGAATAATGAAGAGATCTGAGAGATCTGGCCTATGTCAGTTTGGTCTAAATTCTCCTGGAAACTTCTGACTTCCCAAGGCATTGACCTTTAGAGTATCTCAGGTCAGCAGAGCATAAATGAACATGAGTAGAAACATCTACTCCAAAACCCCAGGACTTTTTAAAGTTCTGCGTAGCCAAAGAACACGAACCAGGTGGATGTTTATACATTCCACAGATACCCGTGCATCTGTGGACCATCCACTATGGTAGATTTATTTTTCTCCATATCTTTTATTACCATCAGATATATATCTTATTTCTTTTGGTTTACATCCACCTTACCCAGTAGAAAGCAAGTTCCATCATGAAAAAGAATATTGTTTGTTTAGCACACAGAACATCAGTGGAAATAAGTTCAGTTAATGTCAAATGAGTGAATGAATGAAAGGATGAATGTGTCTACTATACATAATTATCTGTTACATGTTCGTTTACCCTGCTCAGACCTATTTATATTAATACACCTGTAAAGGCATAATTTTTAAAAAATAGGGTCCCTTTTTATGATTAATATTTTTGGACAAATTCAAAGTAATAAAAAGGTAAAGAATAAAGAATATGGAATCAACTAAGTTATTTATTCTTTAAGAAAATGGTTTTCCTATATATAATATTAGGGGTAAGAAAGATGTTGATTTTCTGTCCAAAGGATTAATAAGCATAAACATAAATTCTTATTGTGAAGTGAGGGCATGGACTTTAGGGGTTAAAACATGATGTACTAATAATTATATCCATGCAAAGAATAAATACACAATCCTTCCTAAAGCTGCTTCTAGAACAAAATAGGAAAGAAATGTAGCATGTCTTTTGTTAAGGAAACAGAGTTTAACAAATTAACTTCTCAGGGAATCATCTTTCCTTGATCATTTGAGAATTTTTCTACTCTGACTTCTCTTCCTCTCTTTCTCTCCATCCTTCTCTCTTCTTCCCTTCCCTTCCTTCCCCTTGATCCCTCTCCCCAAGTATTCAAAATATCTTCCTGTTTTATGTAAAGATTCAGAAAAACAAAACCCTAGGGAGTTTCTGTACCAGGTATGGTTATTTCTAAGAAACTAGCCTTTCAGATGGAAAGACTATGGAGTTGCAAGCTTCCCTTTTTCTTTTTCCCTCTCTGGGTATTTTTCTCTAAATGTGTTTAATATTCCTGAGTTTTAGTTCAAGTGCCTCTGATTACAATGAGGTCTCTCTCTAGGGACCACCCCCACCTAAAAATAAGAAAAATAAGCTGCTTCAGTTTGGCTTGGCTTCATTGCATCTTTATTTTTTGGAAGAGAACCCTATGCTGTCTCCTGGGGCATGTTTAGAAAAAGGTGTGGGCAGGCAAAGGAATGATATAAACATCCCTAGGAATAATAAGATATATAGAGAAAAAAAGCAGCCCTTTTCTGTATCTTCTTACTATAACTATACTATAAAAGGCCAAGGTAAAGTTTTAAATACAAATTCCTTTGTAGCTATGAGAAACTTTGTGGATGAAGAAAGTTGTCACGCTAAACCAGTTACTCTTCACCAGGCATTAGAGAGGAAAAATTTTGCACACCTCCGTTCTCTGGGCCTCTAAGAAATGAAATGGACATTACTAAGTTAGTCAGTTAGTATGCCTCCAAAATGGAAAGGATCATAAACGCTGGGAGAGACAAAGAGAATTTAAGTAATTTGCATAAAGCCACACTGTGCAAACTAGTTAAACTAGTTAAATTGTCACACTGACACCACACTTTGTAAACTCTCCCGTGAACCAGGACTCACAGAGAAACAAGGGTTAACATTTTAGAAAATACATCTCTCATTCTTTAGTTCACTGTTCTTTTAATATTTTTCAATTATTGCTAACTTACACCTAATCTTTGGATATATTTTTGAATTTTTTAATTTTTTTCTAGAAACTTCTCGTTCCCTTCATCTTTGCACGTGGCACATAGCAAACCTCCTCATGGGACAGTGTTTGAGGCCCTTGGGTTGAGAGCGTTTTTCAGTGTTCATAACAATCCATGTTTCCTTTCTCTTATGAGTCTAGTTCAAGTATTTGCTAGTTCCATTCTCTCTAAAAGCAAAACGGTATTATTCTCCCTACAATTCCAATAGAATATACATCTGAAAACATACATTATTTCCAGAATACATCAAGTTTCTTATTTAGGGCAATTAGATTTAGGAACTCAACTGTATTTTTTTCTTTTGAGTAAAACTTAGGTGACTCCATTTTATATCCCAATCAAGGAATTTCATTTCTGAAATATGTGTAATTCAAAACTACCATTAATGGCAGTTGCTAATATTCCATGAGTTACTGAGATACACACCTTATGAATGATCTCACCTCCCCTTCCAAAGTCTCTAAGAGGTAGATATTGTTGTCAACCCCATTTCACAAGCAGGCAATTAATTGAGTTCCAGAGGGTTTAGCTAACTTACCCAAGGACATATAGCTGCTGATAATATACTTCTCAAGGGTGTTATAGATGCTGTGGTATTTCATTTGAATCTCCCAAAAATTATTCAAGAGGGTGCCATTTTCTACCTTAGTTGCATAAGAAATCTGAAGTAGTGAGGAGTTACTTCATTTGCTTAGGGTTGAATAGCTAGTAAGTGATGGAGACAGAAGTGCTGCGGAAGGACTCTCGTTCTAGAGCTGAATGTTTTAAATCATTTCCTCACCCACCCAACAAATCCCACATTAATATTTGCCTTCTATGGCAGTTTCATATAGTGTCATAGAAAGACTCTAAGGTTTTGTCACTTGTAAATTTTTACCTCTATATTGTGAAATCTCAGTAACAGTCACCTTAAATAATACATTTTTCATTCTACCTCCAAAGTGGACATTATAATGTATATAAGTTTAATCTCTTCCTTAAAGAAACAAGGTTTCTTAGCATGCTGCATAAAGCCCTGCACAGTACCATCCCATACTACATTTTGCCTCACCTGC